GTAAACAATTAACATCCCAAACTTCGAGGACTAGTATGTCACAAGTCCTAGCTACTAGCTTTCCGGGTGATTTCGTTATAGCACGAAATACTGCCAAAACGCATGGTCGCGCGGACCCGCCCGCTGCGCGTCGCCATTGATTCTCTCTGTTAACATGCCTGTCAGCGGCTGATAGTACTGATGTGTTTACTTTCTGTACACGTTCATTTTTTCCATAACATACTTCACACATAGCAGTCGCCTTCGAGCCCCATCCAACATTGATGTTTTCCGTAGTATCGTGCGCCCTCAAAGGAGACCTCCTTTTTGGGTTCGATATCACTCTAATGCGTCGCATGTTCAAAAAATTTAAAATGCGGGTGTTCAGTACTTCGTCGTATTTAAGGAGGAGTTGAAACCAGCAGTGTGTGCGGAGCTTATGTGAAAGTTTCTGCTTACAGTGTATTTTTCTTTGCTGTATTCACGTAACTGTTAGGAGCAGTGAGAATCCCGGAGACATCTTGGTTAGAGTACAGATTCAGTAGCTTGTATTCGTCACGGTTATGATCATTTATGGAATGTTTCGAAAGGAAGACTGTTTTGGAGTAATGCGAAGGATGAAAGAAGCGGTGCTTTCACCTCTACAAACGCAAAACCGTTTTACGCTTACTAAATCATGCGATCTGGGGACTGCACAGGAGGACATTTCATGTGACAGTGCAAAGAGTTTTAGGTTGAGGTTTTAGAAACAGACTTATCATCGATAGTTGTAGACTTATCAGTTCGACTTTGGTATTGCTTGCCATCGTAAAAATGTGTGGAACGTGCATTTTTACGCCAACTTACCTCTGGTCTTTCGATCAGCTGTAGTATCACCGTAGCATTATTGACGTATACTCTCACTCGTCGCGCGAAAATAATACCAGTTAGAAAAAAAAAAACATACAAGCGCAGTGGGAAAGTATGCAATCGCCAAATTTATCGCCTTTAATTTTGAGCGTGCAGTATGAAAAGCGCGTGAAAATGAACTGAGCCAGAAACTCTGCTCAACAAAGCTCGTTACGCGGCAAAAAAGTGCGCACAGAGCAAGAAGGAAGGCATGTAGAAGGAATTAAATACTTGGCACCCGCCTCCTAAGAACAGCTGCGTAATCCATATTTCGGAACAGCCACGGGAAAAAGCCTGCCTTTGGGGGCTCAGGTTCATGAACAGTTTGGCAGAGCAGAAAAATAAGGCTCATTTTGTTGAAATGATGAGCACTTTCATAGCCAAACGTCTTGTAGCGTGAACAGTGTTTATTTAGCAATCAGTAAATACAGACATCTATCCCCAGGATTTGCCGAATGAGGGACAGAGGCGTTCCTTTAATAGTTTGCACCATTTCATCTGCAGAATTGTTCTTGTGAATTTACTGTTTGAAATTAGCTTCTCTGGGCAGCGCCTGTACCCCTCTCTCACGTCTCTTTTGATGCTGTCTAAACAGCATTTTTCCCGTATTGCTACATACAGGCTTGGTAATTCTATCCCTGTTCGCTATAAAAGGAGAGAAAACGTGTTTTTGCATAGATGTGATGTTGATTAAATGGGGGTACCACGATCGCCTGAGAAAATAACGTGAACCCTCCCACATCACCGCGGCCATGGGCTGCGCACGGCGATGCCAAATCCTCCTGTCTCGGTTCTGCATTCTTGGCGCCCAGTATATATGGACGTTGTTTCCTGTCGTTTCTTCCAGTATGACCTAGATGGTTACCTTTTTCCTGCGTATCATTCACTGTTACCCAGCACCTATCATTGCCAGTAACGTAAACCGCGTCTAACACGGTGTCGTAAGTGGGCATTTAACTGAGCGACCAACTGTCCTCGTCGTCGTTGCGCAGAGCTTGTCTTCCTCGTCGTCAGGAAAAGTCCTCGTCATTATCACGAAAAGTTGTGCCAGACATTATTCTCATTCTTTGTGCCACTAGCACTTCTATCATTGACCACGTTTCGCAGCCCTATGGCACTGTTCTCACAGTACTGATTTGAAGGAGATGAGCCATGTTGAGCATATCAGCGATCTTCTGGAATTTGTGCCATCCGGCAGTTTCATTACACGTAATTTTTGACATTTTCGACTCGCTTAGATATTACGGTTGGCATCATCCGGCTACAAATTGCTCATAGTTATTGTCAGCGTTTTGAATTTTCTTCATTTTCGATGCGCTGATTTCCAGATTCATTTTTCTAGTACACTTATAGCATCCTTATCTGCCCTGCGGAAACTTTGCCAGCGATACAAAAAAAGTCGAACAAAGAAAGTTCATGCCGTACTGAATTTTCAAGATTTGACAAGGAATTAATTACTTTTGGTGGTTTCTTTTTCATGTATTTTAGATTACCGGAGGACCACCAGCTTATGTGCTTTTTCTGTTTCTTTAAAAATTTTCTGTGAAAGTAAATATTTTTCAAATTCGTTCATTTTAGCTACTGAATCCATCGACCACTTTTCAACAGCTCAGCCCATTTCTGCAGACGCTTGCTGTACAGTCCGGGATTGGCCTTCAAGCAGCGAAACCAAGTGCTGTTGCTGCAGTGCCGTTCAACAGTGTAAATTTTTAGCTTTCTAGAAATGAAATTTGAAAACAGGCTTCATGTTGTGCGTGTAGTGCAGAGGCACATATAACTGGCATTTCCCCATCGTCGTCACATCTCTTTATCTACTTTTCCGCGTTTCAGTCCGAGGATGACTGAGCCATGCATAAGGAATCCAATAGCCACGGTTCTGCCAATGCCACGTGTTGGAAAGGCCTATCATTGATATGTTTTACCAGTAAGATTGCTGCCTAACTCTTTCATTGTCTCTAGGTTCTAAAGTAAACCTTCGGGAATTCACTAGCTCAAAACGTTTATCTCTAGAGCCAAACGTCGTATTTAGAAATTTCGACAACGTTTTTATTTCGCTGTATCGATGTACACTGACTTATATAACTTATTGGCAAACAGGCGTGATCTCTTTAAAAGCTGATTTTTTAAAATCAATCATGTGCTGTCCCAAAAAACGATGAAATTCTTACGTTGGCAGTTTTTCGCGAGATGAGTGGTGCGCTACAGTACATTTTTTGTTCGGCAGTGCTTAATTTCTGCATACCGCTCGCAGCATGACCATCACGTATTAGTCAAAAAGGTTATTCAGCTGTGCTACTGGCAGGTCAGTAAGCTACGTCCGCAAGGTTTTTGACTGCATCACGATTGCACTGTTTGGTCCGCACTTACAGTTTATAAAGCTTTTCTGATCGTTAGCCCGCTATTAAATCAAGTACTATCGAATGCTGGAATTTTTTCAAACCCATCGAGAATTCTGTTTTTGATGTGTAAGAAGCAACTGACTATGATGGAGAAAGGATGAAGAAACCGAAGATGGGAGTGAAACCCCACAGTCTTCTCACCGGACTTTCATTCATTATGAAGCGCATCTAAAAATTTTGAACTTTTCATCTATGGAGTATGAAACTGGCTGCTAAACCCAGTTCATTCGTTTGGGAATTGCTATTTTACCTTGAGCGCGGAAGATATAACTACATTTTTGGCGTGAGATTCCCCTAGGGGAATTCGTGAACAACCCACCCCATATTTAAGCCAGAAGCGATTTGCCTGTTTTGAGCTGAATGCCACGTAACGTCTTTTCGGCCTATTGCGATCTTTGTGAGCTTCTGACCCGGAGTGCTTGTGCTGCTATTAAGAAGTGTGCCCCCGTCAGTATTGTTGAACATCGTTTGAATAATAACGAAGAAAATTTATGTAGCTTTTTAGAAAA